CTGGTGGATATAATGGTGTGGATGGTCAGGCTGGTTCAAATGGCATCGGTAGTGTGGGGAAAGAATCCTCACAAGTTCGAAATGGAGGCACAGGTGGACAGCCAGGTGAATGCAACAGTAACGGCGGTAACTACCATGGAGGAGTGGGTGCCGGTTGGTTTGGTCAAGGTTGTACCCGGCTGGGCACCTCCCATGGGGAAAGAGGTGGATCACGCGCTGAAGGCTGGATCGGAGGTCAAGCCGGAGGTATGAATAGCGGTAATAACGGGGGCCCTCCACCAGGAGCAGTTGGTGGGTTTGGTGGTGGGGGAGGTGGATCAGAGGATAATGGTGCATCAGGCGGAGGTGGTGGGTACTCTGGGGGAGGTAGCGGTACCCATGCGAAACAAGCCGGAGGTGGAGGAGGCTCGTACTGTAATGGCCAAGGTTGTTCCGGTTTGACTGGTGGGAACTCGAATGATAATGGCCTTGTGCAAATTGTAGAACTTTAGGGCTGATTCCAAAACATTTCTTGAGTATAACAGTTATTTTTCAAAAGCCGAAGCCAACACTTTCTCTTGTTGAAAGAAAAAAGTATTCAAAAGGGACAAATAGGTATAACATTTTGTTAAACGTCACTAATCAGTGTTATGGAAGTTTATCAAGTTATCTAGGTAGCTCATCTAGAATTTTCATAACTCGTTTTCCTTTCAGCAATCTAAAACGTGGTAAAGTGACGTCTGTTCTCGTTATGTTAGGGCGTTTGTCATGAGTACAGATTTATTAAATAACTTAGAGAAAAGTTTGGTCATACAAGTCAGCTATAAGATATGAAGTAATAAAAAAAATACACAGGGTAAGACATCGCTTATAAGAGGTTTTGTAGTTTATCGATAATCTAAATAGTCCATTTATTGGAGTTTCCATAACTCGTTTGCGAGCATGGTAATCATTAAGACTTAAAAAGTGACTTTCGTAGATATTATACCTATATTATTGATATTTCACTCGATAAAGCAATAATAATAAAAAGGGTCTAAGAATATCACTAAATTAGATATTTGGTAGTGTGTTTAAGCCTAATTTTTAGTCAAGTTGTAAATTGTTTAACTCATTTTGAGAATTCCAGTTTATTGTAGTACATGGTATTCAAATTATTTCATAGCCTGGTTCAAACGAGATCATCGTTTCTAACTCCGTGTCTAAACTTGCAATCTAACTGGGCGTGAAAATCTTCAAAACTCAGACTGTCCATTT